AGTTTTGGTTTTATATAGTTCAAAGTTTAAAGTCCTCTATTTTGGGGGCGCCTGAGTGCCCAGTCCATTGAGCTTCCACCTTCAGATCAGGTCATGATCTCACAATTCGTGAGTTTGAGTCCTGCATTGGGCCCTGGGCTGACAATTCAGAGCCTGGAGCCTACTTTGGATTCTGTGTCTCCCTCTCTCTCTGCCCCTCCCCCGCTGGCACTCTGTCTCTCAAAAATAAATGTTAATTTTTTTTTTTCAGTGCTCTATCTTGATAGAAAACAAACAACCTCTCTTATTCACTTCATCTTACTCCTTCAGTCTTTCTCAAAAACACTGTCTGGTTGAATGAGGGTGGGGAAGTAGGTTAAATTATCTTGCACCGTCAATTGGTTGTGTTCTCTGTACTTCTTGATTCTGGGCAGTGTGCTGGCAGTTGATGCCACAGCTGGTATGTAATAACCTAATTATTTTCTGGATTGAACAGAATCTTGACACACACACACACACACACACACACACACACACACACACATGAATTTAGTTCCTAAAAGAAGCATGTAAAATATGATGTCATGCACAAGGGCAGTTGCATAAAAGAAACAAATGAATAATTGTTCACCCTAAAGTATCACTAGTACAGCAAAGAAAATAAAAGAAAATAAACTATTGGTACTACATCAAAAGAAAGTTTCTGTACGGTGAAGGAAACAATCAATAAAACTAAAAGGCAACCTATTGAATGGGAAAAGATATTTGCAAATGGCATATCCAATAAAGGATTAGTATTCAAAATATATAAAGAAGGGACACAATTTAACACCCCCGCCAAAAAAATCCAACTTAAAATGGGCAGAAGAGACATAAACAGACATTTCTCCAAAGAAGACACAGAGATGGCCAAAAGACACATGGAAAGATATTCAACATCACTCATTGTGAGAAGTAAGTGAGATGATTCATTTTCAGAAATACCAAATAAAAGCTGTGCTGTCTAGTTAATAGGTTTACAGTCTATTGGAAATATGTACAAAACCCGTTCCCCCCAACAATGGAGCCCCAGGCCCTTAGACACTTCACTTCGTGGTTCTTCTTCCCCTCTCCATTTCCCAGCTTATTTTTCGCTGGCTTTGCAATGAGCACGCACTAAAGAATTGAAGTCTCTGCATCACCTCAAGGAATGTACTTTTTGCCTTACATGGGCATAGGCAACTTCCAGGTAAGGCTGCAACCTCTGTATACTTAGCCAATGAGGAATCAGGGGAGTGACTTGCATGCTAGGAGATAAAATGCCTGCTGTAACCGCCCCAAGTGTGCCTGTCCATCAGACACCCACTTTTGCAAGAACGTTGATTAAAGCCTCACTTCACTGTGCTCCAAGTCTCCACATCCCTCCTTTGATTGGGCCAGTGGGTTAATTTCTCACACTCATCATCAGGGAAATGCGAATCAAAACTACAATGAGATACCATTTCAGAATGGCTAAAATAAAAAACACAAGAAACAAGTATTGGTGAGGACATGGAGAAAAAGGAACTGTCATGGACTATTGGCAGGAATACAAGCTAGTGTAGCCACTGTGAGAAACAGTACTGACATTCTTCAAAATATCCTTGGTTTCAGAATTTTTGTTTGTTAATGTCCTATTAACCTTTTATATGACCACAATTTATGCTAAAGTCTTAACAATTGACACCAAAACCTTCTGTATACAATTCTTTCTTCTCCAACATAGTTTAATGATCACTAGCCATTTGTGACTACTTAAAATAATGAAAATTAAAGTTAGTTCTTCAGTTGTACTGACAACATTTTAAGTGTTCAGTAGACATGTGACTAGTGGCTAATATATTGGATGGTGAACATACAGAATATTTATATGAATGTGGAAAGTTCTACTATATAGCACTGCTATAGACAAAACTTAATAGAATTGTCTACCATAAAGTAGATAATTCCTTGGTAAAGAGACCTTCTATTGCCTAGAAATAAATCTCTTGGTTTAAGAGATGAAATGTCATGAGGGGAAATAGATTTAATCAAATAAATTCACCATTTTATATATGCAAATTTTTTATGCAAACAATGTTATTCCTGACGCAAAACAAAAGATGCTACAAATTTTTACCTAAATCATAATATTCCTTATAAATGCAGTGAAAAGTTGTGTAGTGAGAGAAAAATTGAATAGATAAAATTCTTTAAAATATACATTAAATATATCCTCTCCAATTTGAAGAGAAGGGATGTGACAGAGGCAGATAGGCAACCTGGTGGATAGTGTTAGTGAGCCAACACAAAAAGTATAGAGTCTCAAAGAAGAAAGATCCCTTCTGACGGAACAAATGCAATAAACTGTTACTGACCAGTAAGAACAATTTCTAATATTCGACTTTTTTTTTTCCCCTTGGTTTCCTGAAAGAAGCACTGGAAATGAGAGAATAAACCTGAAATTATAGCACAGAGCTAATTCTCTACAACAACAAACAGGAAATGAAGACAAAAGAAATGTGAAACAACGCAGGAATCACTTGAGGGAGAGTAGTTCCCAAGGACTTCTCTCAAGACATTTGGGAGTGGACTCCCAATGGACTCCCAAGACATTTGGAAAGTGCTACATGCCCCCAAACATTAATAATGACATATCCGAGGGACTCCTGGGTGGCTCAGTCGGTTAAGTGTCCGACTTCAGATCAGGTCATGATCTCCCAGCTCTGCAAATTCCAGCTCTGCATCAGACTCTGTGCTGACAGCTCAGAGCTTGGAGCCTGTTTTGGATTCTGTGCCTCCTCTCTCTCTCTCTGCCCCTCCCCTGCTTGCACTCTCTCTCCCTCTTTCTCTCTCTCTCTTTCAAAAATAAAGAAACATTAAAAAAAAAAGTGACATATCTGAAACCTATATATTGTGTGCTTGTTTTATTAATTAATTAATTAATTTCACAGGCCTGGAGAACAACTGAAACAGCTACTAGGTAGTAGTAGTTTAAATCTGTAAATAAATAGCCACAAATGCTGATGAACCTTTATCAGCATAAAAGATGGAAACTCAAAGACAACTGCCATGTAAAGGAGATACATATTCAATGTGTGGAGTTGTATGGGAATGTTAGTAAAATTAAACAAAAAATGAGCAGAAAATAAATTGTTGAAGCTGAGCTGTTGCTCTCCTCCCATTGTAACAGTGACTTCAGCTCAAGTCATGATCTTAAGGTTCATGAGTTAGAGCCCCACATTGGGTTCTGCGCTGACAGAGTGGAGCCTGCTTGGAATTCTCTTTCTCCTCGTTCTCTGCCCCTCCTCAACTCATGCTCTCTTGCTCTCAAAAATAAATGAACTTTAAAAAATAAAATAAAAATAACTTTTGCAAAACACAAAGTCCAGTATTTGGCATACAACACACAAATAAATGTTAGTTTTCATGCTTCATTCCAAAACCTTTATTCCTACTGAGTTTCTTCCTTTCTTCCTACTTTCTCCCTCAGAACTTAGTCACACTTCTACTCTTAAAAGAAATCTTGATGCCTCAATCTCTTTTGCCTTCCTGATAGATTTCATGAAGGGAACCCTGTCTTTTAACCCTCCTACATCCCTATGCTTTACCCACTTAAATCCAAACTCAAGCTCTGCCGTCCCTAGACTATGCCATACCACTGAAAATTCAGCTCTTATTAGTACATAGGTGAGTGTGCATAAGGACAATACTGATTTAAATTATTTTGATCCCATGTAAAATAGCATTTACTGATATAAGTCCTTATGTTGCTCCGGTAAAGATTTACAAAATTACTTCCCCATTTAAATATCATTAAAGTAAATGCATCTGCCTTTCTTCTATTTGCCAAGACAAAACATGAGGCTTAAAGAAATTTCATGCTTGAAAGACACATTATTTCTTAAATATTTGCTAAGATTTTTTTTTTCCATAATTGACATTTCTGGGCGAAGCAATACCATTTGTTGTAAGCTATAATACATACTCCTTTGGCTATAATCATAAAACTTTTCAAACAATGAGCATCAGTTAAAGATGAACTTCTCAAGGATGTTCTTCATCATTTCAAAAAGGAACTGCTATTACGCATAAAAGTTCACAGCAATTTTTGTATGTCTTCAGAGTAAAAAGCTTTTTAAATGTGAGCCATCACTCTATTTTATTTTTTTTTATTTATTTTTAACGTTTATTTATTTTTGAGACAGAGAGAGACAGAGCATGAACAGGGGAGGGTCAGAGAGAGGGAGACACAGAATCTGAAACAGGCTCCAGGCTCTGAGCTGTCAGCACAGAGCCCGACGCGGGGCTCGAACTCACGGACCGCGAGATCATGACCTGAGCTGAAGTGGGCCGCTTAACGACTGAGCCACCCAGGCGCCCCCATCACTCTATTTTTTAACATCTAGATTAGCTGCACAATTTTCACTTGACTGAAAATATAATTTTGCTTTTTAAAACTGTTGTATATATATTTGTAAAGTGTGTTAAATTACTGATTTCCCCGAAAATCTTCATTTGTCTGACATAAAAAAGATTAAAATCAACTGCCTAGGCAGTTATTTTAGATTATTTTAAATTGCAAAATTAGAATATAAAAGTATTTGTGTAAGGGAAATATTCATCTTAAGCTTAAGTTATGTAACATGCATTCACGATGAAGACACGTTCATGAAATAGTTTGTAACCAAGTGTAAAAGGAATAATGAAATCTGGAGAATTGAATTAGGGAGGCGGAGTGGGAACCTACCTGTTGATTGGAAGAGAAAACTTAAACGTGAGCAATAAAAATAGATCATCTTAAGTTCAAATCTGACCAAGCAGCACTATATTTTTCTCGTCCTTGGAGTTCGTCAAAAGCAAGGAAAGCTCTTGGCCAGCGCGAGAGAGACGCCGTCGGCATGGGCGGACCAAGGCGGGAAGAGACCAGAGAAGCCAAGCGGGCGGGAGGTGGAAGCGGCCGCGACGGAGATGGCGACGGCGGCGGCAGACCACATCCGCGCATGCGCTCAGCTCCCGCAGCCGCGGCGGGGCTCCTTTCTTCATGGCTCCTCTGCTCCCGCCCGCCCAGAGTCTGCAGCCACCGCCTCCAGGCGCCTCCTTCCCACCCACCGTGCCCCCTCTCAGCGCCAGGTGAAAGGGGAGAACAGAAAGGTGGGCATTTCAGAATAAATATAACATAAATTTCACATTAGCTTTAAGAATACACTTGGCATGTTTGGGGAAAATTTGATTCCATTGATCTGCAGGACCACATAGAGGATGGGACATTGACAGAATTTAAGAAGCATGTCAGACTAAACTGTTATTAAAGACTGATCTAGATGCTCTCAGGCATACAAATTGGAACAGGAAAGATCAAAAGTCAGACTATTCAAAGAGCCTTTTCAGCAATGCAGGCAAGGAGTAATGAGTTGATAAGCAACACAATGGCATTGAGAATTGGGGAAAATTGATTGAGAGACGTTCTGAAAAAATAGTAAACTAAGTGTCTTGGTTGGCTACTTGTAGAAAGGACCAGGGAAAATTCAACTTTATTTGGCAATGTCTAACTTTAGGATATATAATGGTATATAAATGGGGACATGAGATAGAGCTATTCCTTTTGAGAGAAAGGTGTTTATCTTGTTTAATACATAATGAATTTGAAATGATATGGGGGCATTTTCAAGAAAGTGTCCAATAAGTAGAATGTGAAGAAGAAACTCCAGACCACGCGTCTGTTTGTGTTGAAGTGTACTATGGAAGGAAATGATGGTTGAAGAGAAAATGAAAAGTAATGGAGAATATAAAGTAATTAGCCATTTTCCCACAGGAAACAGAGAGGACTTAATCACATACATTGGCAGTTAGCCCTGAAAAACCAAAAGACAATGCCATTTGTAGATTTACACTTATAGGAAACTGCCAAACTGTCTTACAGAGTGGATGTATCATTTTACATTCCTGCCAGCAATGAATTCCTATTGCTACATATCCTTGTCTGCGTTTGGTGTTCTCAGTGTTTTGGATTTTGCTCACTCTAATAGGTGTGTATCTCATGGTTTTTCTAAACTTCATTTCCCTGGTGCTTTATAACGTGAATCATCTTTCTTTTTTTTTTTTTTTTTTTTATAACATTTTCCATCATTTATTTTATTTTTTTTTATTTATATATGAAATTTATTGTCACATCGGTTTCCATACAACACCCAGTGCTC